TACACTATATTTCATTTGGATATAAGTTGATTTTGTTTTGTTAAAATATAGTGCTCTCTATGTTAAACATTTAGAATTATTTATGATAAAAATTTCTATTTAGTTTTATTTATTTGTATATTATAATAAATAGAGTAAAAGGTGTCACAATGTAATAACTAGATAAGCAAAATTTCAATTTTTTTATTATTAAAATTACAATAAAATCATATTAACGTAAATTCAATCCAAATTTAATGTTATTGTTATGCTTTAAATGTAGGATTTATATAACTACTAATTTAATACAAATTTAAATAATCTCTAACCATCCATATTATATTAATTATTTTATAACTCTTCTTAAAGGATATAATAATTAAGGTGTAAAAAATATAATAAAATCATTATAAACAAAATTAATACAAAGCAATAAGTAGAAATAAAATTGCTTAAATTATAAAGTAGAGTTTATAAAATTTTATAAAAAAAACTAATTTTTTTTTAATATATACTCCTTTATACAAGGAGAATTAAAATAGAATTCTTTGATTATATATAATATATAATTTTTTATATGGCTATATTCCGTTTAACTTTATTTGAATATTTTAAATATTAGTTCGTATCGATTAATATCTTTTGAATTTAACGTCTAATTCAACGTAAATTTACATAATTATGTATAAATTATAATAAAATGAGCTTAATTGAAACAAAATAATAAGTGAAACAAATTATGTATAAAATTACTTAAATTATAAATCAAAGCATATGAATTAATATGATTTTTTGAGATAAGTTTTCTTATTTATCATATGAATTGATATGCATAATTAGACATCATAAATCTAATTATACACAATTAAAATTGATAAGAAAAATAATAATTTTTTTTGTTAAAATAAACTTAAAATAATAATTTATTTTTCGTCATAATTTGCACAATTACAAATTAAGTTACACACAACACAAATAAATACAATAAATAAATGAAAAATTAATAGACATAATTTTTTTTCCCATGATTTCTTGATAAAGAATCTATTAGTTGGATTTTTCTTACACTTTTAACATTTTTTTTATTCTCGGTAAAAAAAATATAAATTCAGTGAGAATCATGACTTAGAACATTCATGAAATTAAACATGAATTATCAATAACATAAATTTAAAAATGTCAAAAGATTGTTACAAAACTTGTAAAGATTTTTTATGAAAATTATGGAACACTTTCATCAAAATTTAAAATGATATTATGTTTTAAAAGAAAAATATTTTATAATTATTAGCATTTTAAGACATTCAAAAGGATGAAGGAATATGAAATATTATACAATAAAATTATGCAAATTAGACATTTTTGAAATAGAGAAGATCATATAAAAAATGTTAATAATCTTCATATATCATAAGTAAGCAATCTTCATAAAAAAATTGTGGCATTCAATGAGAAATATGTTTTAGAATATCTAGGAGAGGAAATGAATACTAACAAAAATGTGTGAGTATAGAAGAAATGTCATCAAAGAACTTATACGTTAAGACTTTTTCTTATTAAGGGAGTAAAAATAAGAAACACCAATAATATCCATTTTCTCTAAAATAAACAATATCCACAAGAATTGTTATGGAAAAAGAATACAAGAAATGTTAATAATCTTCATATGTCCTAAGTAAGCAATCTTCATAAGAATTGTGACGCTCAATGTGAAATGTGCTTTAAAATACTTATAAGAGTGAATGAATACCAACAAAAATGTGAGAGTATAGAAGAAAAGTTATCAAAAAACTTACAAGTGAATAAAATTTTTTCTTATTAAGAGAGCAAAAATAAGAAATATCAACAATATCCATTTGTTCCAAATAAGCAATATCCATGAGAATTGTCACAAAAAATAAATATGAACCGCATATCAATTGATAGTGGGAAGGTAGAAGGGAAAAGGAATACGTGTTGACATTGTGGTTAATTTTGATGTAAATTAACCTTTAAATAAATAATGTGTGGCTGATCAATTCAGTAGAAGAGATGTAATGAGAAGTAAAATTTCTAAGACATTGATATGTGATCAAATTAGCTAATGTGACAAATAAGAATACATTGATGTAATAGTGAATAACTTCGTAACTAAATTTTTATATTATAAATAAATATTAGGTGATGATTAACATTTATTGATAATTAGAAAATTATCAATTATTAGTGTGTTTCATTAAATAAAAAGTGTGATTTACACAATTTTATATATATATTTTTAATAAATTTTAGTTAACAATATATATAATATTAAATAAAAAGATTGACTTACACATTTTTATATTCTTCAATAAATTATAGTTAGTAATATATATACGATACTAAAATAAGCATGTCAAAAAGAATGATGTTATGAAATTTTCATTATTTATCTTATGTAATATCTCAATTTCTTCTCTTATGATTATGAGAGAAAAAAATCTTGTGAGTCAAGTCAAACTTAGAATTGAACCAATAATACTAATCATGACCTAAAATAATATTTAGCAATTTGAATTATTTAATGATTCTACCTTGGTGAGGCAATACAAAATTGTGGGTATAAGTTCCTATTGTGTGGTCAATGCTTTAAGTGATTGAGAAGCACAACTTGCAACAACACATGCATAAACACTTTAACACTTAAGTTAGTGAGTATAAGAGTAGGGGCGACCCAACATATTTTGAGGTCTAAAGCAAGTTTTGAAGTTGAGTCTTTTTAAAGATGAGAGAGAATGATAAGAAAATCAACAATCACCCATAAAAAAGGAACTTTTAACAAAAAATTATAATATTAGGATTGAACCCAGTTCTTACAATGCTAGGCTTAGATAATGACCGACAGACCTAAATTAGTACTAATACAACTGATTCATTAAGTTCTATAAATAAAAAAAAAATATTTTGGAGGCCTAAAGGTAAGGCTTGGACAACCTTATACTTGAACCGACCCTATAAGAAATTTGTAAAAATGTGCACTTAGTCAAATCATTAAATGGCTTATATAATACTAGTTAAATATTCATCATGGGCACATGCCACACAACAAACCCAAAATGTATCTATAATAAGTTACATACATGTGTGTGCAGCAAAGACCTTCCACAATTGATGGGAGAGATCTTCAATTTAACACTACTATTTAATCAGTGTTGAATAATGTTAAATAATTTCAAGAAAAGAATTACAATAACATTTACAATATGTGTTTCCTAAAAAGAATATTAACAATATGCATATATCAAGATTGGCTTGGACGTCATCTAGAGGTGCAATCATCTTAGGTCCATGACCAAAAGGGACTTGAAAATTTTAAAATATCCATATAATTATGAGATAATTTTTATAATGCTTTTAAAATAAATTTATATTTAAATAAATTTTTAATTTTATAAATAAATTATGATTTTAGTCTTTATAAAATATTTTTCTTTAATTTTTATCTTTCAAAAATATAAAATCATTATTTTGGTCCCTAATGTTTATTTTAAAGTAGATAAATAACATTATTTTAAGAATCTATAAATTATTTTAGAGAAATGACACCTTGATATATATTATGGATAATTATAATACCGCCTAAAATGGTGCTTAACTTTATAATGAATATATAAATAGTTAAAAATATCACATAATAATATGAACTAAAAATATAATTTTAAATTTTTATAGATGAAAAATAATATATA